GTCTGTCCCATTCTGTTTTCAGGTCTAGGAGAAATACCCTTCCACTAAGTAAATGGCCCCATCAGGAAGCCCACCCTGACTGAAATTCCTATCTCCTAGGAGGAGCTCATCTGTATAGTATTAGAGATAGCTAACATTTTTTAGTTCTTACTAGGTAAGTGCTGGGCATTATACTAGTAAGCACCTTAATAATTTGCTAACACTTTGGCTTACTGTGTGCTTGGCATTGTAAGCCCTCTACATGTATGGACTAATATAATTTGCACAAGCCTATGAAGTAGGGGCCGGCATTCCCATTTTGTAGGTGAGAAAACGGAGGCACAGAGGATAAGTGATTTACTCATATTCCACAGCTAGTGACCAACAGGTGACCTGACTCCAGAACTGTTATTCTGTTTCTAGGCTAGATAACCTTTCACACTTTACAAGTCATTTTTTCATTTAGTCCTGATAACAAAGATGGAAGATAGGTTTTCTTTAGAGATCTTAAATAACATGTCTGAGGTCACACAGCTGGTTAGTGGCAGTGCTGGGTTTTTAACCAGGGAACTGCTCAACTCCAGAACCTGAGCTCTTAACCATTGTTTTAATTCCTCAGAGGTTCTCAGACTGCGCACACAGGTGTTCCAGCAACTCAGCCTAGGTTCTTGGCCACTCCAGTGATATAACAACATTTTTGCTCAGTTTTCAGAAATTGTTAATGGATTTTTCTCAGTTGTAAGTATTTCTTACAATTTATCAGTGGCACCTGCTATAGGAAGTACTAGCAATAGATAGAATGAGAAGTAAAGCACAGATAGTATATATGACCAGGAAAAAACTCAAATATCTGAGCTAGTCTCATGGGTGTCACTTTTTTTTTTTTACAGCATATACATAATGTCTTTTTTATGCCAATAAGATTGTAATGACCTTAAATACACCATTTTTGTCCCACATAAAAGCAACAGGACTCTGAATCTAAGCAGTTTGAAAGCCATACATAATCATATCTGAAAAGTTCTAAAAGCTATTTGATATAAAACAAATCTAATTAAAACCTATGGCACTTCTCTAACAACGATGCCTTCATTGCAGGGAACTTGCAGGGTGGGGCCCTGAATTTCTGGGGAGGAATGCTCCCACAGCCTGGAGGAAGAGTGGAGGGAGGATTGCCTCTTTCTCTGACCCAGGCCTGCCTACCAGGGAGGTGGGGAGGTGGGGCCTGTGAAAGCCAGGTCTGAACCAGAGCTCATCCTTCACAGAGGCCAAGGCTAGTACAAATACTGCACACACAGGTTGACAGTGGCCTCCTATCCTTCACATAGTCCTGGGCCCAAGTAGCCTTAGTTCATTTAGACCTCGACATGCTGAGTTAGGGCTAGGGCCAGAGAAAGAACTATCTTCCTCAATTAGTTCCAGGTGGAGAGTAGATGGCTATGATTTCTGGATTGAGAACTCTGAAAAACCCCTGGAGTTTAACTTTCCTCTTCCTTCTCATGGTAATTTTCCATACAGGCAGGGTGTGGTCCTGACTCAGTATGTGGTGAGGATGTGGCCATCCATAGGGGAGGAGCCTTCTGCTTGGTTCTGCCTTTCATTCTGGCCAGTGGGGAGAGGGAGGAAAGAGTCTGGTGCTGAGTCATAACTGGGTTACTTAACAGCTTCTCATAGGATGGATTCTGACATGGAGGTTTGGGAGATGTCTCAGCTTCTGGGACCAATTTGAGAGTGGTGGGGAGGAAGCCTCATGGTCACACAATTACCTCAGAGCGCCCCTCCCCAGAAAGGTGGGAATAAAAGTCGGCTCCAGTTCATTTGAAGGGGCATCATTCTCTCTGGAGTATAGGACTTTCCACAGAGATTTCAGAACCACTTCCGCCCTCCATGCCCCCTCCCCCCCCAGTGGGGCCAGTGATGCCATCCTTTAAGTTAAAGCATTACCTACAAAAATATTTTATCTAGGAGAGAGACCAAAGTCTCCTTAGTTCTAGCTGTCCTGTCTAGACTAAGTGGGTCAGGTTACTGGTAGCCAGTGAGCGTGGAGATGAAGACTGGAGGTATGGTGCCAAGCAAAAAGTTTGACTGAATTGCAGCAGGAGGAATTTCTGGGGAAGGGGTCACTTAATCCATTGTTCACTGCTACCTTTCTTGGTCTTCCAAATCTCCGGTTACTTTGGGGGATAGGGTCTGCTTACAATCCCACCAACATCTTAGCGAGCCTAGCTATGGCTACACTTGTAGGGAAAAAGGAGAGAGCACAGGGCTTCCATGGGACTGGCTTGGTGGATAGGATTAAAGTACTTTAGGGAGACTTTGTCCTGTGAGCCCTAACAGTTATGGGCTAGAGAAAGACTTGCAATGGGTGACGTAGGTTGACAGGGTCACCTTGATTAGGCAGTACTTCTACTGGAATGAACAAGGACTCCTCAAGCTTCCCTTCTGCTTCTAAGTGCTGATGGGGCATTTCCTCAGGAGGGGGGATGTAGATATAAAGTTGCATTCAGAAAACATTCTTTACCTTCCTATCCCCTGGAATGGCCTTCCCATACCCATCTCTATCCTAACCAACCCTCCATGCCTCTTCCTACATGAAGCCTTCCCCTTCCCAGACAACTTGTTCTCTCATTATCCCTAATTTGAAAAGCCCAACTTTCTCTTCCAGGAGTTTTCTGTGGGGGAACTCTGGAATTAAGATCTTGTGCCACCCTGGTGAGCTTGAAGAGCTCTTGGGAGTCCGAAGGAAGGCATAGAATAAATTACGTCTACTTGTCTGGCTCTGGAAAGGGCATATAAAGTCCAAAGTGATAAGCACTTCTGCTTTAAATCGGACATTCAGGGCCAATGGACTGCCCTGGAAATCTGTATTGGCCTGAAAGAGAAATAACACTGCCGTTTCAGACAGGCCCAGAGTTCATGTAATGGTAAAGCCTGTAAACCTCACCCTCTTCACCAGGGCCAAAGCTTGTCTTTGGACCCCAGGGGTTTGGGTCCTGTACCATTTGCTGACACGCTTACCCCATCAAGGGACTCCAAATGACCTTCGAGAATTAGACCATTTGATTCTGTGGTTCTGTGGCCATGAATCCAAACAGGTAACACAGCAATCTATACCCTCACTCTTACGCAGTCTAGTGAATCTAGCAGCTCCCCCTCCCATCCTGCCAGGTCAGAGAGCATAGTGGAAGGACTGGCTCTAGGGGAGGAGCTTCTGGGGGGGGGTCTGTATTCTGCCTCAGTTCCCCCACCCCCAGGTTCATGTAGCCTCAAGGTTACTTGTTGCCGGGTCAAAGGAGTGGAGATTCAGGATGACCAAGTGAAGGCAAACAGTTACTTGAATTCAGAAGGATGTTCTGGCACTAGTCAAGAGGACCATCCTCCACAAGGTCAATTCCCAAAAAAGGGGAAGCTTGCTGGGCACCGTGCAGTACTCATTCACATACATCATCTGATCAAACCCCATCCTATGAAGCAGGAATTGTCTTCAATTTACTTTTAAGGAACTGGTCATAGAGCTAGTGAGTAGGATATGGTCATAGAACTAGTGAGTAGAATTGGAACTAAGATGGAATCCAAACTTTCTTGTATATTATGCTGCTTTTCAGCAAAACAATGTCAGTCACCTTCCATGTGACAAATTTTCACTATGCATCTAAATGTGAGCAAGGATATGCTGGATTAGTCTCTGCCAGAGTTTCATGGATGGCATTTTTTTAGGACTCTTCAGTTTAATACATATGCCTTTCAATCTTGGGAATACATCTAGACTTAGAACTTAAATGCAACATAGTCCAGCACTGGCCATTTCACTGACACCCCCACGCCCCAGTGTTGTCCACCACTCTTTTTAGTTCATTTTTAGCTCAGGGCCAACCAACTTCCTATCTACAACTAAGGGGACCAGAAAAAGCATCCAGAAGAAATTGAAGGATTCTATCGCAAACAGAAACTTACTTTTAGGGTGTCACTTTCTGGTCCCATCTTATCTGAACCAACAGGAAAGCGGAATGAAAGACCTGTGATTCCCCTGCAAGGCAGATGTCTCTCTAGCAGGTCACACCCATTGGTCTCCTGTTCGGGGAAAGGAAAGACCCAAGAGAATAGTCTTAACGATTTTTAATGAGGCAACATTGTATCTGTTCTCAAAACTTGGCTTAATGAAGGCAAGAGTTAACAGCTGCTTCATTGATAACTGCTGTCATCACTGGTTGTTGACCAATCACCGGGAATCGGAAAATACTTTGGAGAAAGATGTAAGGAAAGCTCTAACGATATTGATTTAAATACATAAGGTTGAAAACAAAAGTGCTGATTCCTGCAGATTTTTTGGTTGTAACGTTCTGACATTTCCTGATGGTCAGTTCTGCACTAATATTAATACCTTCTATTCGCTTTCTACTCTCAGGCACGCTCTGCAGGATTCCAGCCCCAACTAAAGTATTCACCTGGCCCCAACTTGTCCTTCCTTGTTCTAGCCCTAAGAACAAAAAGACCTCGCGCTCCCGCTCCATGTACACTCCGCCCTCCCTAGTTCTCCCCTCGCTCCAGTGCTAGAGCCCTTCCGAAGGCGACCTCCAACCATCCCACGAGTCTCCATCTCTCCCCACCTTCTGATCCCAACTCGGGCTCCCTAACTTCCTGTGCGACTCAGTTTCCGAGGTGTGTGCCGGGGCGGGCACCCGGAGGTATGGGGAGTCGCGGGACGGGGCTGGAGGAATGCTCCTGGAGATCCATAAATCTGGGCACTGCCCGGTTAGGTCAGGACAGTTGGGGCAGCCTGGGCCGAGGGTCAAGAGAAGAGCCCTCGTCCAGCACTCCCAAGTTGGCAGCAACAGGTGGTAGCCCCGGCGCCGGGGGGTCTGGGAGGGAGGTCTCCGGAGTTCCCGGGGCGGGCCCTGTCGCCTTGCCACTTCCCCATTGGCCCGCGCAGAGCGTCAAAGCTACGAGTTTTATGTAACGTGTCCTTCCGCCACGGAATATAGTCCTCCCCTAAAGGGCAACCTGACGGAGGGTTCCGCACGGCGGCACTTCCTCCTGAAGGTGACTGCGCCGGGCGAGGACGCGGAGGGGCGGGGCCGGGCGAGCCGGGAGCCAGGATTGGGTGCGGGGCGGGGCGGCGGAGGGATTGCGGCGGCCGCAGCGGGGATAACCTTGGGGCTCAGGCGGCCGACTCTGGCACAGCAGCTCCGCGTCGCGAGCGTCGAGACCGTTCTGCGGCGGTAGTGCAGCTCGAGCGGGACCACGCCGGAGGTGAGCGGGGCAGAGGCTGGGCCCGGCTCCGTGCGCCCAGACAGTGCGGAATCCCGGCCGCCTGCGCACTCAGGGCACCCACACCCGGGCCGGCGCAGGCTCCCGGGCATCTTGCACCCGGTGGGGTCGGGAGAGAGGAGAAAGGCACCTCGCGCCTAGGGCCTGCTCTTCAGAGCCCCCGGACGCCCAGCTCCTGTTTCTTCCAAAGGCGCTCTCCTGCCCCAATGCTTACTCCCATTCTGGTCCCATCCTCGCCTCCTCGATCTGCTTCCATCATCCCTTACTTCCAGTAATCCCTCCTCATCGGGTGCCTTCCTCTCCTCCCTCCAGCCCCCGCTCCTCTGTTCGCCTCCTCCCGTGGCCCCTTAATACTATACCATTCCCCCTCTCCGTCTTCAACCTGGCCGTGTCCCCCTGATTCTGATGCTTTTCTTGAAACCTCTCCTCGAAACCCGTCCCCAGCTCCCTTCCCCCGTGCCGCCTCCATTCAGCGTCGTGTGCTCTTCCCGCGTCCTTGTCCCCCCTCATGCCTACCCCTTCCCCCATTCATGCTCTGGTTCCGCCCCTCCCCCCTCCATTCTGGTCACGTCCGCTCCTCCGCATCCCTCTCCTCCGCTTTCTGATTCGTTCCGCCCGGGTCCTCGCCCCTCCCCTCCGTCCTGGTCACGTCCGCCTGCATCCCCCGCCTCCCGCGTTTCTGCAGCGGGTGAGTCCTGGAGCCCCGGGCCCGCGTCCGGCGCTCACCGCCCGAATCGCAGTGGTCTGCGGATGGGCAGGGCCGGCTGCCGTGCGGCCGGGGGATGCAGCGGCGGCCGGGGACGCAGTTGGAAGATTACGTAACCCTCGGCCTTCCTGCTGCACGGGGAGGAGAGGGTGGTTGCCTCTGTGGCGCATTCCTGCTTGAGGCCGCCCCGGATTCGCTGCACTGGCCCCGAAGGGGTCGCCGGGCTCCCTCCTGCCGCGGCGGGGCTGCACGTAGCGGCCCGGGACCCGCTCCGCCCCTCCGGAGGACCAGCGCAGGCTCGCCTCTGCTTCACCTCGCTGAACATAGGCTCCCAATCGCAGAACACGGAGGTCTCGGGTGGGTGGGAGCAGGTTATAGGCAGAGTAGAAATATGTCCAGAGCTTGGCGCCACGTACCGCGTTCACTCAATAAAATCTCTGTGTGCCAAGCTGTTTTGGGGAGGGGGGATGGCTAGAAAGGTCACAGCCCGCAACATGATATGATTAGGGAACTAACATAAAAGTTACCAGTGGTAAGTGCTGCGAGGAAGGGACCGCTTCCTGTTGGGTGAGGGATTGGGGGAGAGGGGGTTGTGTGTGGAGAAAGGCCGCACAAGGTGGTTCCAATATGAAGGTTGTTTAAAAGTCCAGTCATGGAAAGGCATTCCTTGACTTTTTATCCGTGTTCTTCAAACCCAGGACATTGATCCTCTCCTGTACACATGAGTCTGATAGTTAAGGTCCAGGCATGATGGACAGAAGCATTGGGAAGTTAACAGGCTTTTAGATTCGGGTTTGACTCATGGATATACGGGAATGATGGAGGGAATTCAGCCCCAGGACCTCCGTTTCCCATTTGTGAACTGGGAGTAACATTTCCCCCGGATCGCTTCCTTAATACACATACCTACATGTATATGTGGTGAATACTCTCCGCACTGCCTAATCTCTAAGTGAGATGTCCAGAAGAAATGGCTCCAGATGTATTCTTTGGTCACTGAGCACAATTACTTAAACTGTAATGGAGGTTGAGGGCTCATCTCCGTGCCATCCCCAAACACATACTCAGAGTTAATCTTGGGATTAACTATTTAGTCAGGTTTCTAAGTACCAGACATCTCCTGGAAACCAATCACTTAAGGGATCCTGGTACACAGTGTTTACAAAGTAACTAATAATGTTACCTTGCAGCTCTCCGCTCGCTACAGGGGCTCTTTGGGTCTCCCGAGGATCAGGACCTGTAGACAAAGGAAGGCAAGGAGGGCCAGAATTCCAGCAGTTGGTGTTGGGCTGTAAGAGTAGAAACAAACTTGTAACCCCCAAACTGAAATCTGCACACGCTATCCCCACCTGCTCCAGGTGGAGTTCTAGGATTTGCTCAGCCAGGTGGTAAGTGTGAGGATCGGAGGCAGGGGCAGTAGCCGCCTCTTGGTAGGACTGAGGGTGTGGCCACTCCCTGGGCTACAGAGGATATCCTAGGTCAGGACTCTTGCTCTGTGGCATTGTTAGCAAATAATTTACTCTCTTGTTGCCTGACGATGCTGTTGGGAAATGGAGTGGGGCTGTCCTGAGGGGAAGGGTATGTAACCCATCACCAGGTCTGTGGGAAGGTGGGGGGGCCTCCAGGGGGAAGATGACTCAACCTTTCAACTTCTCTGCTTTTGAGAGAATTCTCTTCGTTGGGTGAGTGGGAAACTGCATTGTGGTCTTCGCAGGTTTAAAAAGTCCCTTCTCTCCATTTAGTGAGTCAAATAGTGAAGCATGCATTTTCCCCAAGTGAAAAATGGTTTCAGTTAAGTGAAAAATGGTTGTCCAGGTGCCCCAGCTGTCTGTACTGCCCTAGGAGCTTAGGCACAGCATGGCAGAACCCTGTGCCTTGGTCATGTAGTCTGTGCACCTGCATTCCTGAGACATGGCAGCCCTGTCATGGTCATGAAAAACAACGACTGAAAGAATGTCCTTGAACTCATTCTTGAGTTACTGGACTTAAGTCAAAATAAATGGACATTAGTCTCTTCCTGTCTTAGTATAGCTGCTCTCATTTTAAGCCCTGCATTAGGAGTAAATAATTTTAGTGTTGAATTCATAGTTTAACAACAAGCATTATTGGGTCTCTAATAATTTGCCAGTGACTTGGCAAATTTGGTAGCTGGGACTCCAAACAGACCTAGCACCTCGTAGGAGTTGCTTCTGTGCCTTGAATGTTGTGACATTAAGGGGGGGTGGTTCACAGGAAAAGCCACTTTATTTCTTAAAGCTGTGTGTTTCTTAATGTTGAGGCAGTGGAAGAAATGAGGAAATGCCTTACGAGCTATAAAGCAGCTCTTAGCATTATCAGCTCACAGTACTCTGGTTCTAATTTACTTTGCTTCAGCTTGTATGAAGGCATGTCAGGATGCGTTATTTTATTTATTTATTTATTTTTAAAGATTTTATTTATTCATGAGAGAGAGAGAGGCAGAGGGAGAAGCAGGCTCCCAAGGAGCAGGGAGCCCGATGCGGGACTCGATCCCAGGACGCTGGGATCATGACCTGAGCCAAAGGCAGACGCTTAACCATCTGAGCCACCCAGGCGCCCCAGGATGCGTTATTTTTGCCAAGAGCTAAGACTGAGCTCAGGGTAGGGGAAAATGACTCATCTGACATTTTCTTTCTGAATCATTCTAAACGTCCACAGTCAAATCTCAGTTGACACACCACAAGGATGAGTC